AGACAATAGCTCGCATGTCCCTATAGCTGCTTTAAAAGGGCTTTGCTTTCCATTTTCCGCCATCATTGTCCTGACATAGCTAAGAAGATGACAGCAGCAAGGGGCGCAGTGCCACATCAAACCGCAGTCATCAGCAGCACAGCGATGTAGAGATTAGGGCTTGGGCTTGCGTATTGAAAAACGCGCCCTGCCTTCAAAAGGGTTCTGCCGCGTTTGGAAAAGGCATTGGCGCAGATGCAGCAGCCTGGCCCCTCTACAATTTCTTACAAGATTCACATATAGTCCCCCTTAAGTAGAATATGGCTCCAGGTACATTAAAAAAAGATTCATATATATTCTATGTTCAATCTACTTATGGGAGACTATAAATTCTTGTGCAACCCCGCCATCATCCATCCTGAAGAGCTGTCCTTACATAGCCCGCATATATTCGAAGCCCAAAGCTTCAAATCGCAGATTTGCGCAGGACCCAGAAAAGGTGCTGCTTGCTTCAGCCGCGGCCCAGAGGGCGGCTTCCACAGATTAGAAGTCCCTTTTTGCCTGCTGGATCTGAGTAGGGAAACAGGGAATATAGTATATTGCGATCATATGCCCTAATTCCCTACTAAGACTGAGTATGTTTGGAGGTAACTGAACTACGGATAGGTGCGAAGTTTAGTCAAATTTGGATTGAGGGTTATGGGCCTCTGAGCCCTGCTTGGTTCACATGTTGAGACCTTTGGCAGGAGTCCGAAAGGGATACCCTAAGCCCTTAACTGGGTTGCTGTTAAGGAATGTAAATTAACTTACCAGAATGGGTGCATATATATATATATAGAGTAATTATTGTGATTTTCTCAGTATAGTAACTTAAATTGAGTTCCTAAACAGCAACCCAGTAAAACCCAAAACAGGTTGCCGTTATGCAGTGCCCGAGCAACAGTGACGATGGGCCCCTGTGCGCGCATCTACGAGCAGCTACGAAACAGGTGTAGGCTTCTAAAGGTCCGTTAAAAACAAGTTTGTTGCCTTTACTTCCTATTTAATCCGTATGAAGCCATAAAGACTTACCCTAGCAAAGCCCACTCATATGTTGGGTATTTAGGAGGTCTAGGCTAGGTAGGCCTAAGCTCATTCAAGCTGCTCCTAGGCAGCAACGCATATCTGCAGAAACACAAATATCAACCCAGCCCATTTATTGCAGGACCTTGCGCACCCGTCAAGGCCCCTCACCAAACCATGAGAGTTTGCAATCCAGGCCCGAGAACTTGTGTTTAGGGATTCCTCTGGGTTTAGGCTTGAGGGGTTAGGGTTTAGGCCTTCTGCCTTCAGCCAGCGAAAGTTCAAGTTCTCCACCAGTATTCCTTGTGCTGTCTGGTAAGGCGGACCCGAGTTCAGAGGTCGAGGTTGTGGAGGACCACTGCCACGCATGCTGCTGTGTAGGCCTTTGGACTCCTTTTGACCCTGCGCAACCTTGAAACAATGAAGAGAACTGTATTCATACAGCCAAAATCCTAGGCAGTATGTGCTATGCACATGTAGCAACAGGTGCCATTTTCAGGAGCTTCCTGTCTCCAGTATGATTTGGGGAGGTAATCGCTGACACGTGCAGGTGGCATCCACTTTTGCATTATCCGTTCCGGCTGTGCGACAACCTCATCCATAGGTTTGCTACACAAGCGGCAGGGTTGTTGTCTTAGGGCAGGGCCCGCGCCACAGGATAAGACGCTTGACCAGCGGCAAGTCAAGTAAATGAGTTTGGCTAAGTCCTGGACCCCAAAAGCAGGTAAAGGGGTAAAAAGGTTTAACAAAAATCACAATTCTTCTACATACGTTGGGGTCCAGGGTCTCACCTTTCCAAAGACTCCGTTTGAAGCCAGAGGAATTTCCTCAAGGCAGCATGCTGTCTTTGATCCGTTGCGCACAGCCTCGTTGCACAATGGTCTGAAAAAAACAAGCATTTTGGCACAGCTTCAGCTTCCGCTCTTGTGCCTGCCACAATTTCCATGAGGTCCCCAACAAATCATAAGGCATCCGAAGCAACATGGGTGGTTGTCAACATTATGGGCCTTTTTTGGGTCCAAATTATATCCAATTATAGTACGGCACCTAATATTTAGGGTACCCCAAAAAGGGACCATAATTTTGACAACCACCCACATGCATGAAGCATTGACCGGGTTGTTCAATCGCTGGGACACAAGCAGCTCGGGACTGCAGGTGCGTTGTCGCAACAAGCTGTAATAAGAGTTTTTCGGTTAACCCCAAAGTAAGTGCCCATCGCAGTCATAATGATAGTCAAAGGTTTCTGATGATAGTCGGGGTAGTTAAAATCACCTTATCAACCTGTTCGAGACCGCCACCAACATGGTCCGATGGCATAGAACCTGCATTCTGTCAAGCAGCTGCCCCCTGCACGACTTTTTTTTTGGAAAAGCCCCGTATGGAACCCTAGGGATCCAAGTATACAAATAATGCCTAAATTGGGTCCCCAAAGCTGTAAACATTCCCTACATTGGGCTATCTGGACCCCCAGGAAAACTGGAAATTTGTTGATAGCAAGCTGGAATGTTCCTACCCTACTGGGAAGTCGCCAATTTGGGTCTTGCTCGAGTCCAGCGTAGACGGCTCCCGACAACAGACCCGGGAGCACCTGATCTGCTCTGCCGGCCGGGACCCTTCTGTGTTCTGGGGCGCGTTCAGGGTTTAGGGTTTTAGGGTTTAGGGGAATGGAACCCCCTAATAATCCCCTCGTTTCCCTAATGCATTAATGGGTTCATATTTGGGGGATCCATGTTTTTGATCCTTTAGGGGATCTGGGCAAGGAACTTCAGCTAAGTTACCATAATTAATGGGTATAGATAGTAATCAATATGGCTTAACCGGTATGTTACCATAATGGGCATAGATCGTTTAACCTATATAATACATAAGCTGAATTTTGGATTGGGGATCTACTTACTAGTTCTTATAGCAGGAAATACAGGATGTTTTTATATAGGGATTGTATTCCCTTCTTCCCTACCAAGCATCCGTAAGTTTTGGGGGAGCTGGGGGTCAGGGCCAGGGCTCATGGTTTGGTATTTAGGGATGCTACTGACCAGCGGGAAAGGTTCCTGTGTAATTGAGCTGAAAAAGCTCTTCATGGCTGCGGGGTCTCATTTTTTGTTTAAGAAGCTATCCCCGTGTTCCAGAAAGAAGTGTATCTAGCTATTTGAGCTTTCCTTGAAGGTGTGGTGTTTAGGGCGCTGCCGTAGGAAAAGGGCTCGCCGGTTCAGAGGTTGGGCCGCTTCTGCCGCAATCGAAACTTGCTTGCGGGAGTCCTCCAAGTTCTGTGAGGGATTTACTGAGGGTTGGCACAACAGGGGAGGGGATCTTCCTTCGGGCAGTCACGGGCATGAGTCAGTGTACATTGCTGTCTGAGGTCTGCAGCCATGGTCGGCATGGCAACTGAGGCGGCAGCCCCAGTTCCAATCCACGCAGCCGCAGCTTAACGCATACATGGCTATGCACAGTGAGATTCCCAAAAAGCACGTTTGACGACCTTGGATTTCCTCTTGATGCTGTCAAGCATTCAGAGAGTCGGTGTCCATAGCGTTGAGGACCTTAGGCTCAGCTTTTGGAAAAGGAATGGGCGCAAGCTAGGACGTCGCAGCCAACCATTTCGCAAAGCACGTGCCGTTCTGTCTTTGTGAGTCCCTCAGCCTAGATCCTTGCGTCTGCAAGTTGCCAAGGAGAAGGAGGCAATAGCAGAAGTCAAGGAATATGCCAAGACCGCGACGACACAGGAGGAGGCATCGAGCACAGCAAAGCTCTGGTGCTACGACATCGGAGCGTGGCACACAAAGCCATGGCCTATGTAACCATGCTTTTTGCATTCCTATACCCAGATAATGATTATGCCGCTTTAGTTGTACTTGTGAGATGCAAGTTATACCATGCACTTGTTTGAGTCCTTGAAGCCCTGACTGAACCCTGCACTATGAGCATGAGCTTGAAGGTGCTGAAGCACCTGAAGATGTGGGAGGGCTGGGGTGACACAGCCACATTTCTGCTCCCTGCTTTGTCAGCTTGCGCGACACTTGATTTACCGGCAGGTTAGGAATGGATGAGTATGCGGCACAGGGACTACTTGAAGGGTTTGTATCGTAACTGCTCTAGGACCAACAACAACAACCAGCATAACCAGCATGCATGGTGACCGTCGCTTTCAGGCCTCCGGGGCTAACCCTGTGTTGTGGCGCAATAGACGTAGCAGATAATATCTTACATCATCGTACACTGCTGTGCGCAGGAAGCACGCGAGAAAGTAGTT